AGTATAAATATAGTTTTAAAATGTGTTTATTGTATCAGTCAATAGAGCGAGAAAGAATCTACAACTCAAAATATGTATATATGATCGAAATAAATCATAATGTATATTGATACACTATAAAACAAAAGAAACGCGCAATAATGCATCAATAAATAAGTAGAAAGACCACAGACGTAATTATGCTATTGTTTCACTTGTAATTAATTACATTAATCATTAGGTATGTAGGTCCATAATGATGCTACAAAAAATAATGATCTTCGAAGGAATTCAGTATTGTAAACTATAGCAAGCGGTGGGTGTCGTTGGCTGACCTTCCTGATATCTTAATGTCGATTAGATTTACCCACCATAATTCACGGTATATATTTAAAGTAAGATAACTGCTTATTTACTAATTGTACCTACAAATTCAGAACCGCGGACCATCATTCCAAAATTCGTTGACTTTTAACTTTAAAAAACTTTATAATCTTCAGCTCTTTCCAGTTTTAATCTCGACTCGAATTAACTTTTGGGTAGTTAAGTATTTCTATTTAGAAAATAATGGCATTCTTAAAATAGGTAGGTAATTAGAAGACGTCTTCTAGATGCAGCTTAGAATAGGAACTAATTACGGCTAAATTGTTGCATTAAATGCAGTGCCGCTAAATAACTATTGCTAATTGAAGGAAGCAATGATTTAACAATCGATGCCGTTTTTCATTTTTAATTAAAAAAAAGTATTTCTCTAGTAATAATGAACTATTTTCGGTTGTCTCTAGAAGTTGTTATTTTAATTAATTGTTATAATTTCTCCTCCTCTACTGACTCAGTCTGCTTTTCCTAAATACCTTATAAACTTTTTATTTTGTTTTTAGTAATATTAGTCGGAATTTGAACCTAGATTTCAATTTAAACTAGCCTCATTCTGTTATGAGATCCTTTTAAAAGTGGGTATTTTGGTACATAAAAAATTCCGCTTGATTTTGTCTGTAAATATTTATTTAGATAACAGCGACCATTATCCTAATAGGTTTCATGTTTAGCATTTCTGTTTATCTTTTTATTTTGTTATCATAATTACATTTTGTAATATGTTGGATTAATGTAGGTACCTATTGTTAACTCTACCTCAAATGTTTTGGATTTACACATTTAAAGTAAAAAACAGCATGATTACCTAAATACATAGAAGTAATTAAGTGAAACATCTTTATCAAATAAACGCGACTGAAAAGAAAGTTTATTTCGACTTAGAAGGGCACTTTTTGTAGAGTCATTTCAGATACATTAGTTAGGTTACATCAGCTAACTGATTAAAGAGTGACACCAGAATTGAAATTTAATTTTCACAGGTGCATGAATGAAGAAGATTTGTCGTCTGTATAATTAATATTTATAGTAGGTAAGCCCATTATTTTAATAATTCTCGGCTTGTTTAATAATATTTTAAGATTCGTTAGGGACAGGATAGTAGAGCGTGAGAAAATAATAATGATATCGAATCAATAGATCCTCCAATTATATCCAGCTGAACGGCTGAAGGCTAGATTAATTAATGAGAACAATAAAAGGGCAGGTAGAAATTAATTATATGATATTCGCAGAAAGAGCTACCATACAAGGTCTATTTTATGAGCACAGTGCTTGACTTAGTTTTCTCGCTAATAACTACCAAAGAATCCAGTCTAGCTTTGTACAATAGATGAATTAAGAATTTCTTCCTTTTTTTGATGACGGTTAAAAAGTTAGGTAGCAACAGTTACCCAAATCTTTAGTCACTTTTCTGAAAGAACTTAACAACTCTACGCGATTTTAGACTATGAGTAGTAGCTGTGGTTCATATCGACACAACTGTAGTCTTAAGAAATCTGTTAAAACAGTATGAATGTATAATTCTTGCAAATACACTTCGTGTATCGTTCAAGATCATTGGGCACCTTCCAACGATTGTTCGCCGTTCGCGTGTGACCTTCACTGAACATCGGGGCTAGCTAGTATAGCACTATAGACCAGGCTAGATGCTTATCTGACGTCAATAACGCCATAGAAAATTAAACGCTGCAGTGCCCTTTGAATAAAGCGCAGAACGGTGAGCTTGACGTAGCAGTCATTTTTCAATCACTAGCTCTACCCGCTGCTTCGCTTAGACAGTCTTTCGGCGATCAAAGGCGCGGATAACCCTTTCTATTTTACTGCATAAGAATAACTTAATCATATCTTTCAAAAACATAAAAATTACCTAATCATGTTTATGATACACGACTGCAGTGTCTTATGCCGTAAACACAGCGTATCTTTATGAGTCAATGATAGTAATTTTATGATAGGTTGATAGCGCTCTATTCTTCAGAAAATCAGCATGAACGAGCAATTACTTATAAAGAATTTGAGTGACGCTCAAAAGCAAGGAGGCTTACGGATTTTCATGATGATTGTCTTATCAATCGCCAAAACAAAACAAAAGTCACTTTTCCCAACTACAACATCTCCATAAATATTATTTTCTTCAACTCTATTTTCATCACCAGAAAGGTAGAGTTTTCTTTTAGTTAACAATCATTCATCCAAGCACTTTATGTACTAAGTACCTACTCGTAATCCAAACTTTAAGGTCATAGCAGTGTCATCAACTCGGAAAGGGATCAACACCGTATCGCGAGCTGTCATCGCCTTTCGCGCGCTGTCAACCGCGAGAAGAGGCGCTTACGTTACAGTGCCGATAAGTGTGCGTTGCAGTATGAAGTTTCATACAAAGAATACTGACCGCCTCGAGTTGATACGGTTACAATCCCTTTCCGAGTTGATAAGTATGCTACGTCCTTTAATCTCCTCGTTGCCCTCTGCGCGATTGGGAGTTTTCCATAAGTTTTCCGTCAAGGCTAGTTTAATGTACCAACCTGTACCGCGGATATTAGTGCGAGGTAAGTGTGGGGGTATGGGGGCGACCGTCAAAAATAGACAGACATCACGGAATCGATGGATCTTTCGGATAATATGGTGGTGTTAGTATAAAAAGAGAAGTAGAACAGAAAACCTAATTGATTCTAATCGGTTGATAGCCTCTAGTATCCCAGATTATTTATTATTTAGCTAAATACTTCCTACTTCCACCTACTCTATTGCGATACCACTCAGGTAACTAAGTTTTTAAGCTCCTGTATATTATGTAATCTACACCATTACAAATTGTCACTTAGTAAGCAATAAATATTTTGAATTTGAATTTGAATTTGAACATTGAATTTTGCAATGAACCCAATATGGATTCCTTAACCTAAGAACCATACCAACCTGTTTGTTATCTCAAGCTCAATGTTAATGGGCCATCTCAATATTGCAAAGGCCACCAGCCAATAATAAAGCTTTTATTACAGTTTTAATTACTGCGAATCATTCTTTGTTGTTTCCAATTCCTACGTCATGTCGCGCGATTCTGTTGGCATATTCTTAAGGACGACCACGACACGACATCTTTCCGTATAACAAATAATATTGCCCGATAACAGCGTTTGTACAGTCTGCAGCGAAATCAGTAATGTCTTATGTCTATTGAATTTAATAGATACATTATTTTTGGATAGTCTGCACACGTAAATTGACTATTTTTAGACATACCTGACCTGGCAGACTTCGTGTTGTCGGGTCGAATACGACACAGTATTGGAAGAAACTGCTTTTGTACATGAATTAATGGTAGGTAACATTAAGTGAATATTTTTTGGAAAAATAATCTCTTGTGTATTTTTCCTCCTTAATCAAATCGACTCGATTGGAAACTTTTTGTGTAAGATTATTTACTAAATTGATTGTTAGTAAGTATCTGTTTATGACAAATCATTACTAGGAAAAACCGTAAACGTCTAGGTAGGATAGAATCTATCTTGATAACCGTAGCAAGGGAGTGTTCTAATGTTGCAATAGGCTGTATTGTACTGTGCCTGTGCCCCATACGCAAACCATTGTTTAAATGATACAAATCTATGTAAGCAATCTTTATTGGTTTGAAAATAGGATGTACCTAGACAGGCATCAACATGGTCTGAAAAGCTGAAAGAATAGGATGGATGATAAAACGTTTCTCTCAGTGTGGTTACGAAAACTGCTACGGAATTTTCGTAGCTTCACAAAGGGAATATTTTGCGAAGTGAAAAGATAGTGGATTGACGTCAGCTATTACGTAGCATCTGATACACTGTTTAAATGCTGAGAACAAACATTCGACACAATGCATAGTTACCAATAAACAAACAAACAACTTGCATGCCTTGCAAGAAGAACAATCGTAAGAAAACATTGTCTGGGGTTATAATATCAATAAATAAACTATCTTATCGTATGCGTAAAATTTATGCAAAATTATACATTTCACCAGTACTACTTCAGTAGGTAGAAATCGATAAATATTGTGTTATCAACCTTTTATCTCTTTTATCACTGAATTCACGTGAATTTACTCGTGTGTTGGATTTTACGATGAATCATTAATGCTAGGACTTACTAGAACTACAGAATAATAATCTAGAACTAAGATCCTTATTTATTTAACTCTAGGGGTAATAATACGTAATTTCAAGAAGTAGAGAATAAATAGATTTATGATAAGTAGAGAAATAATTATCAAAACAAACCTGAATGGAAAGGCACGGTGTATTTTGTTATTGCAAATACCTAATAACCGTGCCTACATAACTTTTAACTAAGTATACATACAAGCTGAAGTATTTAGATATATACTAATTTAAAATAGTGCGATGTCCAATGGTGTCAAACGCTAGTGTAATAAATTCATTCGTTTTCATGTCATTGCCGCCAATAACATTGGCGAAATTGGTTCCTGACCTGATATGTCTAGAATAGATTTGATCTTGATTATTTGTTCTTTTTATTTATTAGTATGTAGTACTTACAATTGAAAAATATTTGGATTTAGTACGTGAAAAGTATGTACACTTTTCACGTATCCAAGAATAATAGAGTTCTCAATCCGATTGATTTGAAACTATTTTTCATACATTAACGTTATTTTTTTTGTTATTTCCAGGTCGGTCGAGGAAGCAAAGCAAGAGAAAACATTCGTCATGACACCACTCACAAAGGAATCAAAGCTCCGCAGGCATATCAGGTCGATGTCGGACGTCCAGAGCAGCACGCCCTACAGACTGCCCTTCAGGTCACGAAAAGGCAGCACCCAGACCCTCATGTACGATTCCGACACGAGGGCGAGGCGGATCCGATCCTACAACCGTCATCTAGAATCGTCGGACTCAAGTGACTATGAAGCACCAAGAAAACTGTCAAGTCTCGAAAGGAACATTCTGAAACACTCAGATTCAATGAGGATCCTATAGGTTCAAATGTACGAGCTCTTCAGAGGCTGTGTAAAATGACTTTAGTGCAAGTTAAGAGCCATATTTGAAAAATATTAGCTACACTTGCATTGTATTAGGAAGTCCTATAGTGATTATGACTGTGACACGCAGATAGCAATTTCCTCATGAGACTGTGATCGTAATAGATTAAATTATTCTATGAAGAATAATTGTGATTGTGATTATTCTTGTAGATAAAATATTTAGCTGTAAGATTATCATTTTAAATCCTTTCGTGGATTTAAAAATGTATAGTGATAAGTTACAAAGGCCATATAAAATGAGTCGTTTGATATAATTATAATTTCAGTTTTTCTTTATTTATAACATTAATTTGTTTTAGAGCTTCTTTAATATTCTTTGAAGATTATTTTGAATTTTCATTAGTTTCTTCTCTATTGGGTCGACTTTTAGAATTCAAGTCGTCGTGCAATCAGAGGTTTTTGTACCTTATGAAAATGTGCCTATTTATTTCCATAGATCTTTATTTCTGTTATTATTATACAGTGGTTGACAAAATGACAATGACGGAGTTTATGAAAAGACTAGAAGTTATTTTTTAAACTAACAGCTAAGTAAATGATCAAAGTGAGACTTGTAAATTAGAGAAACACAAGAAATTTCTATGCTAAATTAGAAACAAAATTTCCAAAATATTACATTAAAGTTACTTATACAAATTACCCTGTCATTATTTAGCACTTTATACACTGGAGACGCTGACCCGCCGAATTTATCATTAATTTGAATGATTAGTTTATAATTAATGTCGTAGCCAAAAAAGAAGGCTGCTTCGGTGTGTAGACTGCTAAAGAAAGACAAATTTTGGTTTGATCGTTATGTAACCACCTTTCTAAATGTCTACCTAACATTTTTGTATTCAAGTTTTAATACTTTTTAATCATTATTTCTTGATTGTTTATAAATCTCTTTGAATTGTATAAAATGACACAAACCTTTCTAAGTATGAAGTGGATTGAAAACCAATTTTGTTGAGAATGAAATAAAATTTGGAACATTTGTTAATCGGTTCTTTTAATTCATTTACCTCGTAGGTGAAGAGTACCTTAAGCTTAAATAAATTTCAAAACTAATTAAGTACACCTTATTAGATTTAAATAGCTTATTACGATATTAAGTTACCTTATTTATTTTCCACATAGGTACAATTTCTTTGAATAAAGCCTGAATAACCACATAAAACTACAACCACATAACATTATGAAAAGGTAGTAGGTACTTACCTGTATTTACTTACCATAAAGGTGGTAGGTGAGGTGGTACCGGCCTACATAACTGCTTAACGGGAATTCCAGCCTTCTTTAGGAATCAGATCAGATGACAAGGTATCTATCTACATTATAGGGTGGAGCGAAAATTTTTTTTTCAGATAACTGTAATGTAATAGTTTAAATTTTGTGCCTTTAGGGCTTAAATGAAGTCATGCAAAATATTAATAAATTCGGTTTAGAGTAACTGCCTCCNAAATTTTGATTAAAAAAGGATTTTCAAGCATAAACTCAAGTAATAATTTAAGTAATTTATCTAATTCTTGTATGTATTTCTTGTTATATTACCTTAGTAAATATCTAATCTATAAATTATCTGTCATTTAATACCTTCTTACTAATAAATAGAGCGCAATATTTCACCTTAGACGACTTTCAACTTTAAATAAAATTTTGAAGTCACTGCGGAGGCAGAAGATATTCATTAAATGGGATAAAAAATTACAGTTATTTATACTTTCATATAAGGCACAAATCCCCCCCTATTAGAACTTCGAAACTAAAAAAAAAAAATTCCCATACAACCGTGCTCCACCCTAATCTATAGCCTGACCAGGAACATAAAAACCCTGGCATAGAGGCGCTTCAATTGCATTTGATAGTGCAACACTGAGTACAGTCGTACCTGTGTTAAATTAATAGGCTATATTTTTTAATATAAATGTTTTTTCCCGCTAACTCCCGTTCCCGTAGGAATTTTGCAATATCCTGTTGTAACTAAGCTTTAAGTTTACTAAGGTACCTGCATGCCAAACTTCAAGCGTCTATCTTACGCAATTTAGATTTTTTCATACACATGTTTTTTCCCGCTCACTCCCGTTCCCGTGGGAATTTTGCGACATCCTGTTGTACCTAAGCTTCAAGTTTACTAAGGTACCTGCATACCAAATTTCAAGCGTCTAACTTAAGCGGTTTAGATTTTTCATACAAAAGGATTTTCCCGCTTTCCCGTTCCCGTGGGAATTTCGGGAATTCCTTTCTTAGTGCACCTCTACGGTACCTTAACTACGTCCCTTCCAAATTTCAAGTGCCTACGTTTAGCCGTTTAGGCTGTGCGTTGATCTGTCAGTCAGTCAGTCAGTTTCTCCTTTTATATAGATAGTTAGGAACTTACCTGTAACCTCCATTATAATCACCATTATTTCAAGTTCAAGCAATAGAATTATAATAATCTAGTAATACACATATTTTGGAAAATAAAACCAACCTGCACCTAAAACGTCTTCACTTTCGCGCCACTTTTTCTTTCTTTCATCTATCTATATATATAAAAATGAAACCCGTTTCGCGTTGTCACGGCATCACGTGTGAACGGCTGAACCGATTTCGATAATTCTTTTTTTTAAATGTTTGTGGAAGTCCAAGGATGGTTCTTACGGAAAAAAATATTAAGAAAATCTCTACGCTAAGGCGGTACGAAGTTCGCCGGGTCAGCTAGTTCTTTATAAAAAAGAAAAGGCAATGGCATTACGCCACGCAGCGAAGTCTTCAGTTTTTATCATTTTGGCCCTAAATAAATGTGAGTGGTGATTACTGGTGATACCTAGATGAATGATAGATTTGTTTCAATAAAGATGGCTTAACTGATTAATTAACTCAGACTTCACACTTATTTCTGTTTTGTTTCTGCTGAACATGTCACTTCAATTTCCCGCCAAGAAGTCCGAAGAAGTTTCAGGACTTAAAGCGCCACCTATGTACTTAAATTCAAATTCCTTCTATATCACGTCTCAAACGAGCAGGCTTATAGAAAATCTCACAGATGGCGCTAAATATGTTTTATACGTGTTCCGAATCTATCTCTAATGCAAATAATGAGCTTTAAAAAAAAAGGCGTGGCAACAAATTATTTTGAATACCTATTTTCATTAGTCTTATTGTGTATGCTAGTCTATTAGTAAAGACCATAATTATTATATGTACTTACAAGGCTACCATTTTTTTATGCAAATCAAAATGTTTCGTTGTATTCGGACCGTCCATCCATGTTGTAATGTCCAAGTTTATCCATGTTCGATGCTTGACACTGACATTTGACAGATGTTTTTGACGTTTTATTTTACGACCGGAATAATCGAACCAAAATAAATCGTTTAAAACAGTTTAAATTTTAATTATTTCACCTTGTTGTTGTAAAAAGCGTTGTGTTTCTAGTGTATCAAACCAGCGTGTGACCTACTGTACTTCATTTCGTCAAACGACTATAGTAATCACAGCAAAATATTGAAGTTTGTTAAAGCGCTACGCAATATCAATTTGATCTTTCTTTACTCTCATTAGCAGTCATTCATTACGCCGTTTGCAGCATTACTGAGCGCTCGGTTTTAACTGCAGTCTTGAGAAATCGGGGAAAATGAATCGATGGCTTTTTATTTTGTTTATTATAAAAGTTATAAGTGCTGGTCCCACTCCTGTAGTGCTATGGCATGGAATGGGTAAGTTTAAAACAGTTTGATAATAATATGTTTAATGTAAGCAAGTGTCAGTTCTTTGTCTTTAACCAATACTTGATTGCAGAACATCTTTATAAATGTGCATGTTATAATCCAATTTCATTTTAATAATAAAATCAAAAATGACCATCCAGCTGAAGAAATACTCAACTATTAGCTCAGACAATAACTGAACTAAGACTGTACCATAGCATTTTGAAGTAGAAGAATAGGAGAAAAATAATATTTATAGATTTAAACCTATTTTAGAACTACAGTAGAATCCCGATTATCCGGATCAATTTAATACCAGGGGTGTTCCGGATAATCGAAAATCCGGATAATCGATTTCAAAGTAAAATCAAACAATTATGAACATTCTTCAATAGAAAGGGTTTCCAAAACATCATTTTAGAGTCTATAAATCTAAATTTTACACTATTGGATGAATCCATTTCTTTTAACAATGAACTAAGACGACGTCCGTACCGTGTTACGGTGTAGGACCTTCGGTTTTAATGCATCGAGAACTTAAATCGGTAATTAGAAACCGTGAAGAATGAGTCCGGATAATCGGATATCCGGATAATCGAAGTCCGGATAATCGAGATTCTACTGTATGTATATTTAAGTCCGACTTCCTCTTTAAATTAGGTGATACCTGCTGTATGCCATACAGCTTGGGCTACATAAAGCACTTCTTGGAGCAGCAGATTCCTGGTGTCTACGTGCATTCAATCAGGGTTGGCGACAATACAGTGGAAGACTTGGAAAACAGCTACTTTATGAGCCCAAATGAGCAAGTGCAAGATGTTTGCGACATGCTTGTGAAGGACCCTAAGTTGCAAAGTGGTTTCAATGCAATTGGCTTTTCACAGGGCAGTCAGTTCCTGTAAGTTTTTTTTAAGTTACTTGCATGTTTTTACAGTGTTTTCAGTGGTACTTGATACAGTACTTTTGCAATAATGTGATGTATTTATTTTTCTCCATTGTCTGATAGTTTATCTTCATAGATATTAAAGTTTAGTAGTTATTCTTAGGGTTAAAATAAACTTTTTCATAGAACTTTGAACCTATGTGATAAAGATTATAATGTATTTTTAATAGGTACAAAATACCTACATTGATTAAATTAACTGACTGATAATATTTGTAAATGTGTATAATATTTCACGTTTTGTTTGTTTCAGTCGTGCATTAGTTCAGAGATGTGGCCATAAGCTGCCTCCGATCAAGAATCTCATCACCCTCGGAGGCCAGCATCAAGGGGTTTACGGGCTTCCCCACTGCGGAGCCATTCAGCACAGATCCTGCGACTATGTCAGGAAACTGCTCAACTACGCTGCCTATTATAGGTAAGTTAATGGGCGCATCCAATGGGTGCTTTTGGCGGAAAAAAAGGGCTTGGAAGCACTATAAGCGAAATGGCGACCGCTTAGCGGTAAGCGCTTAGCGCTGTCACTAAAAAAATAAATGAAACACGTTACTATTGAAGTTAGCAAACATGTCCTTGCCGAAAACTTAAATGTGCTTTTTTCAAGTGATCATTAACACTGAGATATTATTTCTATTGTCACAAAAAGTGACAATTAAACGACATAATACTGATAATAAGACAGTGTTATGACTTCCTCAAGCTGGTAGAATAAGCTTACAAAAGATCACACTAGTTGGATTATAGCTTACATCATTTAGGAAACCGCGTTACGTGTTACGACACATGGAGCATTCCACGCGAAGCGGACAGGTAAAAAAAGTCGATGTTTCCGATTTCAGTAATATTTGAGTATGTTCTACCTATACATATTATTGATACGTGTACCAAATATTTTTGTAATATAATGACTAGTTTAAGAGTTATGGGTCTTCGAAGTTTTCGGCAACCGGTTGGCATGCAGTACTTCAAAGCCGATTATGGAGTCATAAAATTATATATTAAAATAATTAAACCACGGGATTTATTACTTCATTTACCGTGCTTTTTAACTGTATTTTTGGAAACGAAAAAAAATATATTTTTTCCTCAAAAAAATGCAAATTAATTTTTTTTCCTTCATTTTCACAAAGTTCGACCCTTTCGATTTTTTTAATTTTTTTTATTTAAATAGCTAATATTGTGTAGAACATTCATGCCAACTTTCAAAGTGGGCGTGGAAGTGGATTCGGAGCTAGACTGAAAATACTGCCGAAGGGTGGCGTCCAGCGCCGCGCCGTCGCGCTGCCGCG